GATTCAAGGTTACCAGTCTACCCACTGCAGACCAGGTGAGTACTGGTCTGATAATCTCTACTGTCAACATTGCCAGCTGGTTGACACAGCCCATCTGTGTTTTTGACAGCCTTGGGTGAGCTGGCTTTCCAGCATGGAGAAGGGAGGCTGCAAGCCTTAGCAAGGACAGAACTAGACATGCTGAGGGAGGGGAATGTCTGGCTGATAAGGGAAGGGCAAGACTTTCCTTGGTTGTCACCCCTCCCATCGCACTAGGGAAAGTCTCCTCTGTACTACTCTGACTTTGGAGAAGTTCTCAGGAAAATGGAATAGAGAGGCAGCAGAACAGAGCCTGTCTGAAGGTGGCAAGTGGGCTCTGCAGGGGCTTGGATGGAAGCTAGGGCACAGACTAGCACAGACTACTCTCCAGTCCAGAAGACTCCAGACATGGCTGATAGCAGGAAGCGCCTATCAAGGAAGTGAGGTTCATCCTTGTGCCACTGTCTTGTGGACCAAACAAAGTACTATCCCCTGCTCCTTATTGCATGTCAAGTGGAATGGAGGTTCGTGAGTGTCCACACCGGGACCACTCACCACACGTTACCACATACCTCCACACACCCCTACCTGCAAACATACCTGTACAGGCACCAACCTGAACATAATTCTATAGATACAAACCTGAGTACATACATGCACCTCTGCACACTTACAGGTATGCATCTATGCAAGTGTACACCCATGCACATACATTGCAGGAATGCATGAGAGAGACTTGTCTGCTGAGCTCAGCCATCTCTGTGTGCCTCTGCTGAACCCTTAGGAGATAAGCACTGGAATAGGAGTGCTGGTAGGGTACTAGGGCCAGACTTCATTTCTGGACCTTGGACATTCCTCTGTGAAACTGGCCCCTACAGTTAGGAACCTGAGATGGACACACCAGCTCTGCAAGTGCTTGGGTGCAGGATCAGAACCACTTGCTCCCATGCACTGTGGGACAGGGGTCACTGCCAAGGGTGATGCTGGTCCTCAGCTCCTGGGCCACCTATGCATTCAGTTTAGCATGAGGACTGAGGCTGGGTATCCATCCAGAAGGTTCTATGGAGGCTGGAGTCCAAGGAGTGGGCCCTGTTCAGTGGGTTGGGTACATGTGGCTCAAGGATAGGGACAGCTGTGCTCAGTATCTTTTTTATGTTGTCTCCTCCTCCAGCCTCATCTCTCACCTCACCCCTCCCATCAGTCATATCTATATATCCCAACACTCACTGCCATTTCTTTCTTTTTGGGACTCTGCACCTCAACTTGGCTAGTCCGTCCTCTCTAGCTACTTTGCCTTCAGAACTTACCTCCGGTAAGAAGCCTTAAATCCCTCTCCCTTCCCCCCCACCCCCCATAGGCTGGACTTTGTGAACCAAAGGATCTGGTTCTATCATTAGTATAGGGGTTTAACCTACAGAGGTGGCATTGCTGTAGACTTCCTCATCCTTTCTATGAACCTGGAGGCTCCCTGAGCACAGGGACCAGGCCTCTGACATTTCCTCTTCCTCAACTGCCAGCACCATTCATGGACACTCGAGCTGACAAATAGTCACCCTGCAGACAAATGAAGCAACAACAGCAGGAAAAAAAAGAAATCTCCAAATTTCTGGGAAGGGGCATTTTCCTTAGTGTGCTTCCCAGAAGAGAATATTAGTAACAGGTTTTTCCAATCATAAAATCCAAGAAAAACTTTATAGTTCCTGGTACCCATGAAAAAATCACCCCCCTCCACCCCCGCCAAGTTGGGATTCCTACACTTCAAGGAAGAAAGAAGCAAAGGCACTGAAATGAACAAGAGTCACTTATGCCTATTGGTGAGTGAGTATTTTCCCTCAGAGGAGTGGCTTCAGGAGGAAGAAGGTTATAGAACCAGTGGAAGGACTGGGTAAGATCTCATGAGAGACTCTGTGACAGACAGTAGGCAGGGCCACGAGGTCTTACGACCCAGGGCAGTAGGATGCCCAGCAGCTCCCTGCATGCCTGCAGGGAGACTCAGTAGGTAGAAGGTGGGAAGCTAACCTCCAGGACACCTGCCACATCCCAAGTCCCTGGAAAATAATGTCAGTGCAAGCTCAGTTTCACAGCAAACCTACAACAAATCCTGATTCTACCACCTATGGGGTCCCACTGACTGAAAGTCTTGGCTCCCATTATGCAGAGAATAGGGTTATTGTTGCCACTTCTTGGGCCTACTGTGAGGATTAAATGAGATGTTACACAGTTGCTCCCTCCTTTTCTTCACAGGATGCATTCTGGGACCTCTGGCAGATGCCTACAATCATGGATAGCACCCAACTCTCTACATGCCATGCCTTTTCTATGCACACATACCTGTCTATGGTAAAGTTTAATTTATTTAATGAGGCACAGAAGGAGATTAACAACTAAAAATAAAATAGAACTGCATCAATATACTCTAATGAAAATTATATGAGAATATGATTTCTCTCTCTAAAAATATCTTATTGTAAAGGAAATGCAAATTCAAACCACACTAAGATTCCACCTCACCCCTGTTAGAATAGCCATCATCAGCAACACCACCAACAACAGGTGTTGGCGAGGATGCGGGGAAAAAGGAACCCTCTTACACTGTTGGTGGGAATGTAAAGTAGTACAACCACTCTGGAAAAAAATCTGGAGGCTACTTAAAAAGCTAGACATTGATCTACCATTTGATCCAGCAATACCCCTCTTGGGGATATACCCAAAAGACTGTGACACAGGTTATTCCAGAGGCACCTGCACACCATGTTTATTGCAGCACTATTCACAATAGCCAAGTTATGGAAACAGCCAAGATGCCCCACCACTGACAAATGGATTAAGAAAATGTGGTATCTATACAGAATGGAATTTTATGCAGCCATGAAGAAAAACGAAATGTTATCATTCGCTGGTAAATGGATGGAATTGGAGAACATCATTCTGAGTGAGGTTAGCCTGGCCCAGAAGACCAAAAATCGTATGTTCTCCCTCATATGTGGACATTAGATCAAGGGCAAACACAACAATGGGATTGGACTTTGAGCACATGATAAAAGCAAGAGCACACAAGGGAGGAGTGAGGATAGGTAAGACACCTAAAAAACTAGCTAGCATTTGTTGCCCTTAACGCAGAGAAACTAAAGCAGATACCTTAAAAGCAACTGAGGCCAATAGGAAAAGGGGACCAGGAACTAGAGAAAAGGTTAGATCAAAAGAATTAACCTAGAAGGTAACACACACGCACAGGCAATCAATGTGAGTCAATGCCCTGTATAGCTATCCTTATCTCAACCAGCAAAAACCCTTGTTCCTTCCTATTATTGCTTATACTCTCTCTACAACAAAATTAGAAATAAGGGCAAAATAGTTTCTGCTGGGTATTGAGGGGGTGGGCAGGAGAGGGAGGGGGCGGAGTGGGTGGTAAGGGAGGGGGTGGGGGCAGGGGGGAGAAATGACCCAAGCCTTGTATGCACATATGAATAATAAAATTAAAAAAAAAAATCTTATTGTACTGTACTGGTATTGTCCATTTAGTACGTTGGGATCATGGTTGTCTGTGAGTGACCAAAGCCTCAGAAAGTGAAACTAAGGAGAACTAATGTACTTAATGTGTTTGGTATTTGATGGCACAGACTCCTTGCTTATGATCGCTAGAGCTATGATCTACTGTTATTTTGGAGTCCTATAAAGACTGAATGAGAAAATGACACAAATGCTCAGGTCTCCTGTAAAGTCTGATGACATATGCATATATTATAATATATACAGTTGTATTACAATGTCATAGAATACAGCAGAATGCAACAAATCATTAGTAGCACTACACTGCATTTACTAAGCCGTATGGGCCAGGCCCTGTTCTGAGCACTTCCTGTGTATTAGTCCATGTAATCTTCATGTCTGCCCTATGAATGAGGTTTCATTATTATCCTCATTTTACAGAGGAGGAAATTAAGGCACAGAGAGATTATGTTAACAAATACCTGACTCATGTAACTAATATAACCACAAACTCAAGGTGCTGAGAGGTGAACCCAGGTGGCTGGGCTGCAGAGTTTCCTGTAGCTGCTATAAAAAAAACTCAGATGAGACAGGACCCTGGAGACCGTGCCTCACACCTCCAGTCTCCTGGCCAACTACCTATGCTTACTTAATTTTCAACCTACCATTTCTATTTTCAGCTGGCACAGTTCTCATTCCCCTTTATGTAAAGATCCTTTGATCACCCTAACACACTCTGCTTTGCCCTATAAGGGGAACCCTTTATTTCTGGAATCTGGTCAAGGAGTTCAGATTCCCCTACCCACGGGGGTTCTGAGTGTCTATTTCTAGCTCTACGTTACTTTTAAAGTACAAGGAATTAAAACATTATAAAAGGATGGCAATGACACTTGTGGCCTCTACTTCTAGGAGTATAAGCCGTAATTTCTAAGCCCTGTTAGGGGTGGTTGGACGGTGGGCACCCTTCCTGCTTTGGAACTGAAGTGCTACTTTTATCTGTTTTCTTACCCAAGTTTCATTTGAAAAAGGGCCCTGTTTGGAGACCACTAAAAAGTCTTCACATGTTTAGAATCACAGCCTATATATACTATTAAAGGAATGCTTAGAAATTGTGGCTTCAGTTCTTGCTTTTCTGAGGGTGAGAAATGAAGACAGGACAGAGAGCTATTTGCTTCTGCCCCTCCTAGGTCCTTGGGATGCCTCCAGAATCCGCTCAGAGTACAGTCCCTATTAGTCAGGAAAGAATCCATCTCAATTACCCATCTTCTTGTGTCCATGTGACATTCCACTGTCACAATGAACATACCCCCAAGGAAAGATTAGCTCCCTTATTGCGTTCAGAATTTTAACAAGTCATTATCCAGCTTCTGGAATTTTCCAAAGCAGGCAAATAACCACAGAAACACAGGAAGCTGTTAACTGTTCATGAGAGTCCTCCAGGGGAATAGGAAGCAGGACACAGCAAAGAAAGCCAGACTCATGATGAGCCTTACCTGTTTTTCAATGAAAGCGTTGATTCTCTGTAGCATTCCCTCACATGTGAATTCATAGGGCATGTATGGCTCTATCTGTAGAAACAAAACATGGACACATGACACCTGGCACTTACCAGTTCTCTAATGATTCACTCAGTGCACAGGTGCCCACACCTGGAGGCAGTCTTGGCAGGGGGTAGGACTACAGACTTGGAAGTCAACAAACAGGGCTTATAGTTTTACTGTGGTCTTCCCTCTGTATACTCTGAACAAACTATCTCCCATACCTAAGTCTCAGCTTCCTCATGTGTAGAAGGGGGGTAAGAAACCCCACCTCTTTTAAGCTGTAGTGAAGATTATATGAGGAAAAGTTCTTAGAGTATTGTCTAGCACATAGAAGGCATTCAACAACAGGTGGAAACTATCACTTGCCAGCAGCTAAGCTCCGTGGGTAAAGACTACAGTGTAGATCCCTGTGTCATAGGCCTGAGCACGGTGCAGAATATCACAAGGACTTACAAACATCTGTTGAATGAATGCACAGTCTCTGCTCTGAGCAAGTCATACAATGAGCAGATTAAGAACCCATGATGGTGACTGAGGCACTGGTCTGCATTAGTAGGTGCACCCAAAGAACCTGTGCTACAGAAGAAAGGCATAAAATGCCACAAGGAGCTTGGCTAAAGGCTCTGGAACACCTGAAGGCCAAAGAAGACTTCTGCTTATGCAGGACTTTTAAGGCCAGCTCTGAATCCAGAAAGCCAAGACTGGAGAGGGCTGAGAAGTACACTGGGTTATCCAGCTCTGTGAGATTTGATAGGGAAAGAAAGGAAGCTGGGGCTAACTGTAAGTAGAGACTGTGGTAACTAGAAGAAGAGAGGCTCACTGAGCTCCAAAAAAGCCTTGTGATTTTTATGCCAAAGAGTCTAGACTATCTGAGGGGAGCAGGAAACCTTAGAAGGTGTTTGATGGGATGGGGGAGGCATTCTGATTGACATTTGAGGCACTTGAAGGAAGGTGAAACTAGGTTCTGTTGCAGGGTTTATGGATACTATCAGGCCTATGTCTTATTGTGGTTCACTAGTATGAAACAGAAGTTGTATTTGAAGTCACTAGCAATCCACCTGCTACAGCTTCAGAGCCCAGTGGTACCTGTCAGTGACAGGGGAGAGAGCCACTTTCACCAGTTCCCCCTTAAGTCTATACTTACCTAACTCAAACCTATGGGTAGAGAACTGGACAAAATGTCTATGAGCGAAGCCAGCCAAAAATGGAACAATCAACAGGACATCCTTCAATGGGTGTCCTCTCCCTTTTCTGTGTGTTGAGTCACATATTACATTAGAAATCATAAGCTGTGATTTAAAAAAACTTTTTCTTTCACTACACAACTAGATGCAGGTTGCGTCACGCAGACTGGATCCCAGCCATACCTATCTACGTCTGTCTGGACAGAGCTGGAAGAGGCTGTGCTACAAGCACTGTGACATCATGGACACTATGCCATAAGAACAGAGGTCACTCTTCTTATCTCTGAAGATCTCAAGGTACTTTGAAGAACAGACTTTCTTGTTCTCATCCTGCACTTTCCTATTTCAGTGGGTCACATCAATTGTAAAATCCTTATTTTAATGGGTATTTATTTGATAAACCTAAGGGTAACTCCAGAAGCTTTCTATAACTAGTCTAGAGATATATCTCCTCACAAAAGTTTATAGAAGGAACAAAAAGAAACCATTTAAAATGGAGGAGATAGCATATCTAGGCTCATTTATAAGAGGACAAGTCTAATTTCCAGAGTGAAATAAACATGCATTGGAGGTCATCTTTTACAAGATGCAACAACAGATACAGTTCTGTGTCAGGAAGCAGGCTAAATATCTAAGGGCCATTCTGACAACAGATTTCAAAGGGCATCCCTTAGAAAACAGAAATGAATTCATTCAAAGGGCTCCATACAGAAAAATGGCTCTTCCTTTGTTCTTCTACCAACTGCACTCAGTTTAACCAAAGGAATGCTGACTCATTCACTGCTATGGGGTCAATTCACTTTTAAAGCATATGAAGCCAGATAACTTTCCTATAGGAGGCCAGGGGTGGAAACAAACCGGAAATTGCATTCTTAGGTCACCCTGCTGTGGATGGAAGTAGGCCCTCTGTGTGGGAAGGCTCTCTAGACCCTGGGCTTTGGAGATGGAGAGAACCAGCAGGCCTCAGTAGTGGGAGCTGTTGTGTACACTTGGGGAGGAAAGGGGACATTTTTCTGCTTAACAGCCCTTCAGGAACAAGGGAACAAGGCAAGGCCTCTTTGGAATACAGGATGATGGAGAATGCTGAAGACACATGCGGTCCCTGAGAAACTCAAGTGGGACATTAAAGAGCAGCAAAAGAGCACTCCTGTCATCCTGCATATGGACAAAGGCCTGTTACCCATCCAGTCAAGGCCACAGGAAGGATGCCTGCAAGCTGCACTGTGGAGTTTCTGTTGGCCTTGGAACTTCATGTGAACTCCCCATTTTCTCCTCTTGACCTTCCTTCTTGTGAGTTTTCCTGTGTCCACTGCTACTCAGTCACCTTCCCAAGTCAGGAGATAATTTCTGGGGAACTGCTCTCAGAGATGAGTGAAACTCTGTGGCTCCACCTGACAGTTAGACATCATCCAACAAAAGAAACCTTAGAAGATACCAGAAAACCAGGGTTTGAGCCCAGGCTCCTCTGTCTACTAACAATAGGGTTCTGAGTTAGGCAGATCATACAGTTTCTGTGGAAGATTCCAAATACAGGTTGTCATTCTCCTGCTCCAAACTTCCCACCATTTGTAATGTGCAGAATTTTTCTAAATGCTGCTTGCTTATTTATGTTTGGTGTTACTGTGGTTTGAATATAGGACTTTTACATGTACTATGCGAAGTGACCCTACTACTTACACCACTCTGCTAGACCTATTTTGTGTGGGGTGCTTTCAAGATAGGGTCTCGTGAACTATTTGCTTGGTTTTGAACCTCGAGCCTCCTGATCTCTCCCTCCTGAGTATAGCTAGGATTACAGGCGTGAGCCACCAGTGCCCATTTTATCACTGTTTAAAGGCCTTGCATGCTCTGTTTTTCAGTCCATTATTTTAGATGAGAAGTTGATTGTCTTAATATCATATCTATTCCCCTGCATACAAAAAATTTTTCTCTAGCTGCTTTCAAGGTTTTTTCCTTATCTTTGCCTTTTGCACTTTGATTATGATGTATCTGGGTATGGTTTCCTTTGTATTTATCTTGCTTGGAGTTCAACACGCTCCTAGATCTTTTAACTGATGGCATTCATTAATTTAAAAAAACTTTTATATCTTTTTACATATTTTTTTCTGACTCATTCTCTCCGCCTTCTGAGATTCCAGCTAAAGTCAGGCTGCTTGATATTGTCCCACATCTCACATACTCTTTGTTTTGTTTCATTCTTTTTCTCTTTATGTTTCAATTTGGATAATTTCTATTTTCTTCACTGATTTTTCCCCCTCTGCTGTGTACAGTCTGCTGAGAGTCCAATGAATGAACTCATTTCTGATATTGTATTTTTCATTTGTCTTAAAAATTTTTTTCTTTTTGGTTGAATGTCCCCATCTGTTCACATAAGTGATTCTTTTTTTTTTTTTTCACCAAACCGTACAGTACATTATAACATTTTAGAGTTGCTGTTGGATAATTTCAACATGTGGATCATCTCTAGGTCTGGTTTTATTGATCACTTCCTCTTTTAAGATAGGTCACGCTTGCCCGTCCTTCCTTCCTTCCTCCCTCCCTCTCTCTCCCTTCCCCATGTAATTTAAAAACCTTGGAATATGAGAAAACTTAATACCAAATTTCTGATCCATTTCTAACCAGTATAAGGAATTTCATGACAATAGTTTTTGTATTAATCTCATTCCTTTCTCCATACTCCATTTCTTTTTCCCACTTTATCCTTTATTTCACATTTTAAAAAATTTACATTATCTTACAAATTAGAAAGAATTGAATTTGAATTCATGATCTCCTAGTTACTACTGTGTCACCTTGAGTAAGTTATTTTCTTTAAGTCTTAATTTTTCTTACCTGTAAAACAGGAATAATAATTCTACTCCACAGAATCACAGAAAGATTAAATGAGATAAGGTTTGTAACACATAAGCAATTGTTAGAAATTTTTGAAAAGCAGTCTTAGTTTTTTGAATAAGATGAAATAAAGTTGATGAGGGTTTTAATTAAAGTGTGGTGCATTAAAGGTTCCATGGAGTGAACAGAACAAATCCACGTGGGACCGTGCATACACAATTAAGCGCCTGCCCTCAACACTTTACTTAATAGGCGTTTCAATTAGGTTTTGGTTTGACAAAAGGGATTTATCACCTAAAATGTTTTGGACTCCATGATACAAAGTTTTCTGCCTCTATCTCAGCTTTCTATTCATTCTTCCTCAAGGGTCATATACTTAACTGAATATTCTGGGTGAACAGTGTCCTCTCAAAGGAATGCTGAAGTCCTAACCCCTAGTTTCTCGAATGTGCCTTGTTTGGAGATAGGGTCTCTGCAGATGCAGTGGAGTTAAGATGAGGTCATACTGAGCCAGGGTGTCTCCTAGTCCAGTACAGGAAGAGAAGAACCAGAAACAGACACAGGGAGAAGTCACATGATGACGGAATCAGAGATTAATGCTCTAAATCTGCAAGCCAAGAAATGCCTAGGGTTGCCAGAAGCTGAGAGAGGCAAGGAAGATTGTAGCAGTACCTCCTTACCAAGGGGGGCACATTCCAAGACTCCTAGAGGATGTCTGAAACCGAGGACAGTACTGAGATATCACAATACTTCGTTTGATAACTGAGATTGCTACTAAAGTCACTAAGCCAGAGTGGGCAGCATATACAGCATGGATACATCTGACCAAAGGATGAGTCATGTCCTGGCTGGGACAGGGCAGGATGGTATGAGATTTCATCACATTACTCAGCATGGTGTGCAATTTAAAATGAATAAATTGCTTATTTCTGGAATTTGTCACTTAATATTTTTGGACCATGATTGACTGGGTCACTAAAACTGTAGAAAGTGAAACCTCAGATACAGAGTGATTAGTGTACTCCATTAGAACCCTCAGAGAGCATGTGATCCTGCTGACATCTTGATTTCAGACTTCTAGACTCTAAAGCTGTGAGAGAATACATTTTTGTTGTTTATGTCACAAGTTTGGTCCTTGGTTAGGGCAATCCTAGGAGACAAATACACCAAGGACCTGGGAAACTCAAGAAGGAAGAGCCTTCCATCTCTCTAGAACAACTCTATGGTTGAAGTTTTAGAAGTGGGACAGAAATTCTGAGGCAGTCAGTGGGACCACACTCCACTCAAACTTCTACCAGCTGTGTCCCCTGAGGTTGGGGACTGCTGCCCTAAACTGTTGAGACTGGGATTGGATTGTATATATCTCTAATGGGAAGCTGACAGTCACACCAAGCCCAATAATCAGACTGTAAAGAAACAAGCATGGATAGTGCTTCAGACAGCTCTTGTGCCTCTGGAGATGCTTGGAATTCATTGAGATTAGCAGTTAAATTGGCTATCTTATTTCCCCAAGGGAAAAGGTGGGCCTTCACAGGGGCAAACTGTCAAGCATATATACCTTTCCAGCCTTTTCCCCTTACACCATGTCTCGAAGTCACTCCCTTTACAACTGTGCTCTGAAATTTCAACTCATCCTATAAGACTCAACTCAAAATACAGCATACTCTAGAATGGCTCCCCTGCTTCCATTCCTAGATCTTCTGCATGCTGCTTTTGGCAATGAATTTCACCTGCCTTTGTTAACTTGTGTGTTTGTGTGCAAACATCTATTCCTCTCCCCCTCCTTTCCTCCCTCCCACGCATCATGTAAATCACAATGCTGAATATGGTAGTGAGACAGACATGGACATCTTTCTACTCTCCTCTTACTTATAGTTTAGGGGAAATACAGATCATCCATTACAAAAATAAGAATACCTAATATTAAGTAAATAGTTACTACATGGTAGACACTGCATTTCACTTTGAATATGTGACCTCATTTGGCTGGCACGTGTGTGGATGAAGAATTCTCCATTAGAAAGGAGGGAATGCTGCTAGTAAGTGGAACCCAAATTCAAAGTGGGATTGAAGTACTTTACATGCATGTATGAAAACAGAATAATGAAACTCATTAAAATTGTAAAAAAAAAAAAAAAGGCGGGGCGAGAAGGGAGATTAAAAAAAATAGAAAGGGGCGAATATGATCAAAGTATATTATCTGCATGTGTGGAAATATCACAATGAAATCCCTCTATACAGTTAATATACACTAATAAAAGTGATAAAAAAACCCAAGGTGTGTAAGTCCAGCTCTCCCCCACAACATACTTATATACTTCTTTTAAACTATTATAACAAAATGTTATAAGTGCTCTGACAGAAAAAACAATGGCACCATATACCTGAGTCCATGGAAGTCTCAGGATAACAGAACTCATATGGGATTGTAAACTTCCCATTGGGGAGCCAGCCTCATTTATGGAAGCAAGCACCCCTCCTCCTCCCAGTAGCTCAGAGGGTGCTCAGTGCATAGTAGGTGGTTAATAAATGTTTGCTAGTTGATCAGAAATTTAGTTATTTCTACCAAATGTAAACATTTCATAACATTTTCAAACATTTCACTAATCCTTACCCTTTTGTCTATTCCCTCTCACACCCTCCCTAACACTCCCCCATGGCTAAGGCCTATCTTTTCCCATCTCTATGAGTGACATAATTGGATTGCGGAAGCAGTAATTCCAGCCCCTCCTCATGTGCCTGAGACCCAGGAGCTCTGTAGAATCCATGCCCACATCTGGAACCAGCTCTGTTTTCTATCTCGCAGAACATCCATGAAATCCCCGGGCCAGATCCTATAGTTTGGCTACCTTCTGACTATAGCTAATGTGGGAAAGCTCCATTTACTGAAACTAAGGGCCTGTGACACTTCCATACATTCCAGGTCACCATATAAACTGGGGGAACAGAACAAATGGAACAACCTTCTGGTTTAAAATTGCTTTCACTGCATCCTCGACTTCCTCCTGATTGTTGAGATCAACAGTCCAAACATGTGGCCGGCCGATGAACACTTCAGCGTAAGGATGCTGGGATGTCAGCTGGGAAGAGAAAACAACACCTCAGTTTCACAAACACTAAATTTTTTTTTGAAGAACCTTCTGTGCTAGATGAAGCAGTATGCTTTTTACTGGATTGAGTTGTACTTGCACAAGTAACAAGACATTCTTGTTCTTCCCCTTGACAATCAAAATCTTCTAAGCAAATAAGCAGGTAAAAATAAAAATAAATAAAAATAAAAAATAAAGATGCCTCCACATTTTGAATCCCATTTGGAAATAAGACAATGTCACTACCAAGTGATAAGGAGGCTATCACAGGTATTCTTTCTTCTCTGTCTTGCTGGGGATAGGACGCAGGGTCTTGTGCTAATAAGCAGGTGCTTTACCACTGATGTACATTTGTACATTCCCAGCCCTAAATAAGTGGCTTGAACTCCTTAGGAATACTTACTTTTAGCCATGACTCAGCCCTGAAATTCCCCTAGATCAACCCAGGATTTACTATCCTGGCCAGGAGAGAAAGGTAAATGCATAAACTTGCAATAAAAATCAAGGTTGCAAAGTCACAGGTAGATGACTAGGGTGCATATGCAAGGTGACAGTAAGGAAAATGATACCCTCAGAAAGACACAGAAGTGTTTGATATTTCTGGAATAAATATTAGCATAACCCCAGACCCTTAAGTTTATTAAGACAATTTGTAATCAGAAAAGCAGGAAATGGCAGGTTTTATACTAAAGGTTTTATTTTTAAGCACAAAGTGTGGCCAAAGAAACCAAGTATATTGATAGTAATACTGAATTCTTCAAAAGCCCATTCTTCAAGACAGCTAAGTTTATCTCTCAATCATGTTTCCACTTCAGTTTTCATCTCTCTTTAAGGCAGACATTTGTGAGAACACTTCCAGTTATCATAATGACCAGGGGTGCTACCCTTAGTCTGTGGGTGGGGACTAGAGATACATTCATGACATCTAATGATGCCTAGCACAGACTTGTCCATTTCCCAAATAACTCTCCTTCGTCCCTCTCCCTCTTCTCTCTCTCTCATTCACACACACACACACACACACACACAGAAGGAATTGAACCTAGGGCCTCATGCATGTTAAATACACTCTTTACCACTGCATTACATCACTAGGAGTTCTTCAACTTTCAAATGCCCTGCTGGGCTTTAATGTGAACTTATTGACTCCAACCCTTTGATACAGTTTTAATATACACTGAATTTTCCAGGAGCAAATTACCATGTAATCAAGAGATGTTTGTACTCTTTTATTTGAAACTTCACCCATGAGTGGTCATCATTTTGGAAAAATCATGGCAGCAAAGTCAATTCCACTCAGATTATGTCACCAGTAAAATATACTCAAACTGGTCTATATTTGTAGCTAAATGGCAACATAGCTATATGACAATATGATACCAAAGGCAATTATGTATATATGTGTGATATGCATACACACTCATATTTAGCTTTCTTTTCATAATCCCAATTAGAAGTAAAAAATGCTGACAATGTTCAGCTGAATGTTTTATTCCTTCCAAATACAAATGTTATTGTAAGGAAGAATGAGACATAACTTCTAGTATAGTTCTTGACTACGTAATACTGAAATATGCATTACTTTATTAGAGATTATTTTCCTTTTACTTCTCCTTTATGTTAGAGTTAGGACAATTTTTCTCTTAATTATTCATTTCAGAAAAGAAAAGGAGTGTTGGACATATATATTATAAAAGCAGGTGTTTTGGCTCAAAAATTTAAACACCAAAAGAATAATCCAATTTATAAATGGGCAAACAAATTGAACAGAGACCTCGCAAATGAAGGTATACAAACGGCTAATAAATACACATAGAAATGTTCAACATCCATAGCATAAAGGAAATGCAAATTAAAACAACACAGTGTCCATCTCACCCCAGTCAGAATAATTATCATCAAGAAAATAAACAACAAATGCTGGTGAGGATAGGGGAAAAAGGAACCCTCTTACACTGCTAATGGGAATATAAATTAGTGCAGCCACTATAGAAATCAGTATGGAGTTTCCTTAAGAAACTAAAAATACAGCTACCATATGATCCTGCTACACCACCCCTGGGCATCTATTCAAAGGAATGTAAGTCAACATATAAGAGAGATACCTGCGCACCCATGTTTACAGCAGCACTATTTACAAAACCAGCCTGGTGCCAACAATAAAGAAAACATGGTGCATATATGCATAATTCAGCCATAAAAAAGAATGAAACTGTCATTTGCAGGAAAACAGAACTGAAGATCATGTTAAGTGACATAAGTCAAGTTCAGAAGGACAAATATTGCATGTTTTACTCATATGCAGAATCTAGACCTAAAAAAAATAATATGATACTGTAAAAGGGAGGACTGCTTTTTGAGGGAACCTGTTGGTTGGAGGAGGGGTGAATAGTATAGGAGAGAGTGGGGAGTGAGTATTACAGAAGCACATTATATATGTATGCAAATAGCACAATGAAACCCACTAAAAACTGTTAAAAAGAAGGGGGAAAGAGGGAAGGAAGTTAAGCAAGAATAATATAGATGGGATAAATTGATCAAAATATGCTATTTGCATATTATAAATATCCCAATGAAACCACTTTGTACAATTAATTTATGCTAATTTTTTAAAAAGCATGTGTTGGCTCTAATAGTGTTCAGATTCACACACACACACACACACACACACACACACACCTGGAAGACTGGCTGATCTAATTAGCACCTCCTTATCTCACTCTTGGCCACTATTCTTGGGATCCTGCCATACCAGTGGCTGCTGCAGTATCCAGGGCAGAAAAATTGGGATACAAGTCACTGGGCTCCACCTGCAGCCTTTCCTGCCAACCACTCAGGAAATCACATAGAAAATTTCATGATCCTGTGATCCCCAGGCAGAGATTATTTCAGTTTCTAGTCCTGCTTTCTCTGCCCAGAGTCACGCCTTTCACTAGCCTCTAGCTCCCATCTTTCTGATGTTGCCCTCTTCTTTTGCTGGACTTTATGGTCACTGACAGAAAGCTTTTCTTCTCTTTGTACATATTTGGATTTAATACATATTGATGTAATCCCAGGTTGGACCAGGCACTGTGTTGATCACATACAACACATTATTTGTCAGGTTTCCTATGTATCCACGAGGATTCTGGGGTTTAAAGGGGCTTATATTTTCCCAAGACCACACAGTTAGAAAGCAGCATGGCCAAGTTCAAATGCAGATCCTTCAACAACTTACTAAATTTGGACCAAAATGAAGATGGCAACTTAGAAAATGCTATTGAGTTCTTTTTTTTTTTATTATTCATATATGCATACAAGGCTTGGGTCATTTCTCCCCCCTGCCCCCACCCCCTCCCTTATCACCCACTCCGCCCCCTCCCTCTGCCCCCCACCCCCTCAATACCCAGCAGAAACTATTTTGCCCTTATTTCTAATTTTGTTGTAGAGAGAGTATAAGCAATAATAGGAAGGAACAAGGGTTTTTGCTGGTTGAGATAAGGATAGCTATACAGGGTATTGACTATTGGGTTCTTAAGACAAAAGCTTTTTATCACTGCTGGTGGGAATGTAAGCTAGTATAACCACTATGGCAAACAGTATGGAGGCTCCTTGAAAAACTTAAAATAGAACTGCCATGTGATCCAGCAATCCTATTCCTAGGGATATACCCCAAGGAATGTGAATCAGGTTACAACAAAGGCACCTGGACACCCATATTTATTGCAGCACTATTCACAATAGCCAAGCTATGGAAATAGCAAAGATGCCCCACTATTGACAAATGGATAAAGAAAATGTGGTATTTATACACAATGGAATTTTATTCAGCCACAAAGAATGAAATTTTGTCATTTGCAGGTAAATGGATTGAACTGGAGAACATCATCTTAAATGAAATTATCTAGGTTCAGAAGGTCAAAGGCCACATGTTTTCTCTCATATGTGGAATATAGACTCAATACAAATACAAGCAATATTTTGAAAAACAGGTTATGCTAAGGGGAGGTCACATATGAGAGAGGGAGGGTAAAAGAAGGAAATTAAGGAGGTAAATATGGTTGATGTGCTTCCTATACAGGAATGAAATAGAATTTTTAAGCCTGCTGAAATCACCATAAGAAGGGGACTAAAGTAGAAAGGAGAAAAATAGAGATGAACCAACTTGGGTTATAATACATACATACATGGAAATGTCACAAGGAAACTCCCTGTATAGCTATCTTAAACCAATAAAAATATCATTTTTTTTCTTTTAAAAAATTGGAGAACAGGAGGGAAGAACAGGTCATGTCTGGGAGCTGGGTACCAGGGGGAGGGGAAGGATATAGGAAAGGGTGGAAGAGGGTGAATACGGTGCATGTACTGTGTACACATGTATGTAAATGGAAAAATGACACCTGTTGAAGTTATTCCAGGAGTGGGGGGAGGAGGGATAAAGGAGAGTGATGGAAGGGGTAAATTCAACTAGGATATATTGTAAGAACTTCTGTAAATGTTGCAATCCCCAGCACAAAAATAAAAAAGAGGGAAAAACATTTTAAAGCTAAAAAACGAAACAAAACAACTCACCACCACCACCAAAAAACCCTGGGCTAAATTGATGCCTTTATTAGACTTTTTCTGAAGATGAGCAAAATGTCACATCATTTTTATTTTGTGGCCTAGAAAACAAACTAATTAGTCCTTCCACCAGAATCAGAGTAAATTAAAGTTGCCATCAATGTCACTATTCAGTAATTTACATATTAGCAGTAGTCTCTCGTCCTTTTCTCTTTTAAGGTCCCTGATTATTTACAAGGTTGCTCTAAGCACTTAGAAAATACAAAATGCTGAGCCATTATCATTTTATTCATTTACATTTATTGAGGGTTACTTAATTTTATGAGTAAGGCAGTTTGTGATTCATTAACCCCCTTTGAACGTTATGTTCCCCTTTGATAATTTATTGAGAACCATCTGATCTCAGCTACTTCATTGTATATCAATCAGTAAATTTACTGCAGTACAGT